GAATTCATAGTCTGCCTATTACTATTATTATAATAACTAGGTTATCATAATAGCTACAAACAGAAACAGAATTATTCTTAAAAAGAATACACATAAAGAAGGCTTTAATTTAGATATTAGAACTAACTATAATTATGACAGCCATGACACACTGGAATATGTACCAAAGTAAACTATGACACTCTAATATTAATATAAAAGGAAAAGAAAGACTGCTTTAAAAAAACCTTTATTATGTTATGATTGACATGTAAAAGCTTAGCATATTTAATTATACAACTTGGTAAGTATGGGGATAAGAATATACCTTCCCCCCATCAAGACCATAGACACAGATGTCACGTTCCAAGTTTCCTCCTGCCCTCTTTATTATTATTATTGTGTGTGTGGTAAGAACATTTAACATAAGCTCTACCCTCTTAACAAATTTTAAGGATACAGTACAGTACTGTTAACTACAGGGCCTATGCTGCATAGTAAATCTCCAGAATTTATTTACCTGCATAACTTAAACTTTGTATTCTTGACCATTTCCCCCTCACCCCAAGCCCCTGAAAACCACTGTTCTACTCTCTGCTTCTTTGACTATTTTAGAGTCCACATATAAGTAAGATCATTCAGTATTGTCTTCCTGTGTCTGGCTTATTTCACTTAGCATAATATGCACCAACTCCATCCATATTATTGCAAATAGCAGGGTTTTCTTATTTTTTAAGGCTGAATAATATGTCATCATATATTTCATTATACCTATACATCACATTTTCTTTATCCATACATCCACTGATGGATATTTAGGTTGTTTCCATATCTTAGCTATTGTGAATAATGCAGTGAATGTGGGAGTGCAGGTATCTTTCAAGACCTTGGTTTCAGTTCCTTGGGATAAATATCCAGAAGTACAATTGCTAGATCATATGGTAGTTCTATTTTAAATTTTGTGAGGAAACTGCATACTGTTTTTCATAATGGCTGTACTGATTTACAATCCCACCAACAACACATTATCTCTTTCTCTCTCTTTTTGACGATAGCCATTCTAACAGTGTGAGATGATATCTCATTGAGGCTTTGATTTGAATTTCCCTTATGATTAGTGATATTGAGGACCTTTTCATATGTCTTTGGAAATTTGTATGTCTTCTTTGGGGAAATGTCTATTCAGGTTCTTTGCCCATTTTTAAATAAGGTTATTTGTTTTACTGCTATTGAGTTGCATGCATTCCTTATGTATTTTACATATTAACCCCGTTTTAAATATATGGTTTTAAAATATTTACTCCCATTCTGTAAGTTCTCTTTTCATTTTGTTGATTGTGTTGCTTGCTCTGCAGAAGTTTTTTTGGTTTGGATTAGTTTGATGTAACCTGACTTGTTTATTTTTGTTTTTGTTGCTTGTGCTTTTGATATCATACACAAAAAAATCATCGAGACCAATACCAAGTAGCTTTTATCCCCACGTTTTCTTTCAGGATATTAATGGTTTGAGGTTTTTTATTTAAATTGTTAATCTATTTTGCGTCGAATTATGTGTGTGTTGTAAAATAAGGGTCCAATTTCATTTTTTTTTAAATGTATGTCCTTAAAGCTAAAGATGCACTCTTCTTCCTGGATCAGAGCATTTAATAAAAATGGTGTGCTTGAACTCGAATTCACTCAATGATTGCCTCAGTACTCTCTTTTCCTTTTTTTTGGTATAAATTAAGCTTCATTGACATTTCTGGAGGATATTTCCAATTCTACCATAGGATGCTTTCCAAATTCTTGTAAAAGTAGCTGTAGTTGATTATTTTATCCATTCATCAAATATTTTTGAGCTCCTACTGCAATGCAAGACAATTTATTCAAGAGGAAGCTGATCCTCAGAGTTAAAAGATAGTCCAAGTTAAACATCGGCCCTTATAGTGCTTTGTTTACCTTACGAGGTTACTCTTCCATAATAACTACTGTAATAAGTTCATGTTTTTAAAAGTTCCCAGGTGGTATTCACTTGTTCATTTATTTCACAATTTATTCTCCTTAAACACCATGTGTTTCTACCACTTTATCTGGCAGGGAATAAATATTGAATAAGGCAGGCTGGGTACTTATCCTAAGGCAGTTTATATTCTAGATGGAGAAAAAAAACATTAAGAAAGGTAACAACTTATTGCCGAAGAGTTTCTGTCTAACTTCTGTCATTATATAGTCATACAAAATAGGATGAGTATAATATATAGAGATAATACAAGTTACAGGGGAGAGGACTATTCAAATATATTGACCTCTACATAAATGTCTCTGAAGTGATATTTAAGCTGAGGCCAACCACAAGAAAGACATAACATTGGAATACCCAAAAGTTAAGCAGAAACAAAACAAAACAAAACAAAAATTGTGTCCCCTACCTTCAAAGAAGCTAGATTCAACAGACAAATCAAACCCAGGGTAAATTTTATTATTTTTATTTTTTATTTTTTAATTGGGGAACTGGAAGAGGGGAACAGACATGTTGCTGTCCTTTTGTTCTTCAGTCTAGTTGTGGAGGACGTCCCTTCACTGGGCCATGTTGGTATTGTGATCATTGCGCTCTTCCTGGCTGAGGCAGATCGGTTGTTGGCCATTGGATGGCCACTCACGGCAACTCACAGCAGCTCATGCAGGCTGCCGGTCGCTCACTGTAGCTTATGGCAGCCCATTGCAGCCCCACTGTAGTCTATACCTTCGCTGGCAACTCATGGCAGCCCAGCCCTAGGTCGAGCTGTTGTTCACCATCTTAGCTGTAGAGGACTCAGCGTCAATGGCCCATGTGGGATCCGAATCAGTAGCCCTGTTGCTCAGAGCTCATGCTCACAAGCCAAGTCTTAATCAACAAGCCACTCGGCCGGCCCTAAATTTTATTTTTTAATTAAATTTATTGGGGTGACATTGGTTAGTAAAATTATATAGGTTTCAAGTGTACATTTCAATAATACATCATCTATAAATTGCATTGTGTTTTCACCACCCAAAGTCAGTTCTCTTCTATCACCATGTATTTAACCCCCTTTTCCAACTTTTATCACCCCCACCCCTCTGGTAACCACTAAACTGTTGTCTGTGTCTATGAGTTTTTGTTTCTTTGTTTGTTTGTCTTGGTTCCTTTATTGCTTTCAGCTTTTAAACTCAGATTTTTGCAATGTGCCACTTATCAAAATTTGTTTAATAAATACCTATTTTCTATGATGATCATGATTATTTTTTAAAAATCATTTTAAATCTTCTTAGCCCCATAAACACTAAAACAAAAATTAAAAGAGATGCTTGCTCATTTCTAATAGTAATAGTATTTTGGACGGTTATTTTTATAGAGAATCAAAAATTACAAGTTTTTCTGGGAGCTTTCATTTACTACAGAGAGGCTTGATCTGGTATTTTGTTGATAACAGGTATGTCTCCAAGATATAAATTTTTATTAATCAGCCAAAAATTATTACATTCTTTCTTTTTGAAACTATGTCTTATTGAAATTCTAAGAAGATACATTTTATTTTATTAAGAGGTATTTGATTAAGATCATATTAAAATGTTTTGAAGAAAACATTATTAATAGAACTGTTTCACTACTTAAAAAATACTCTTGTGGTATTTTTGAAGCAAATTTTTTCCAATGTCAGAAGAAAATATTTTCATTATAAAAATTGCACTCAATGTTGCCCATTAGTACTTTATCCATAAGGAAAGATCAGCACAAGGAGAGTTTGGCCTGCTTTGTGTTTAATGACAGATCAGAGACAAGAAGAAAAAAATGTGTGCTGGTTGATGTTTGGGAAAAAGGGGAGCCCTGGAGGAATGAGTGGATCCCCAATGAATGTATTACAAAATATACTTATCCTTGATCTCTGCTGTTTCTAATATTAAGGTCACTCCAAAGAAAGTACTCTCTATCAAAGAGGAGTAGAGCAAATAATCCATTTTCTAAGTAATCATATGAAAATGTGTTTTACCTGTTACATAATCAATGTTGAAAGAAATGAAAAATGTGTCTGATTTATGAATTTCCTTGATGATGTTGATGATTCTTTTCGTTATTTTCCTCCCCCTTCCTTCTTCCATTTTCTTTCTTCTCCTCCTTTTCAAAAGTTTACTCATGTTTCAGCAATGCCCTTAATCATCAGATGATGCCTTTAAGCATCTTCATTGGTTCCATTAAATCACAATACCAGAGTCATATTTAGACAAACTTCACATACATTTTTATTGACCTACATAATGGTTTCTTGTAAACAAGTTAATGTTTTTTGACAAGTTGGCTTTTATTAAATTAAATGGTTAGATTTAAAATATTTAGTCATTTATTACAAATAGATACTAGTTTTTATTGCCGGAGCCTTGTTAATAAATGGAAATGCAAATAAGTGCTTATACTGTAAATTAACAATTTAGCTGTTCTTAAAGTCATCCATGTCAAACCAGTTTCCACAACTAGATAATTCATATTACTAGCTAATTTAATTTATCCTGTAGTTTCATGTGTGTTACCAATAAATGGTGACTTTTGGGGTTCATTTTTCCATGAGCAAAGATAAGATGGTTAATATATATGGCATTCATTCCTAATTAGGTGATCTGCTTCAGGTAATATCATCTCACCATAATTGGACCTTTGCAACTCAAGGTGTTAAAATGCACATTTAAAACACTTTGCCGCCATGATGATAATTTTCTTTTTGTGGGTTTGTTTGTTCTGTTCACCTCCTCCAGACATAGATATCATAGAGTGCTCCTTGCAGTTCCCGGATGACGATTACTTCTGGTGGGACCTCTTCATGAAGATTTGCGTCTTTGTATTTGCTTTTGTGATCCCTGTCATCATCATCATCATCTGCTATACTCTGATGATCCTGCGATTAAAGAGCGTCCGACTCCTTTCTGGCTCCCGAGAGAAAGATCGCAACCTGCGTCGGATCACCAGGCTTGTCCTGGTGGTGGTGGCAGTCTTTATCATTTGCTGGACTCCCATTCACATTTTCATCCTTGTGGAGGCTCTGGGGAGCACCTCCCACAGCACGACTGCCCTCTCCAGCTATTACTTCTGCATCGCCTTAGGTTACACCAACAGCAGCCTGAACCCCATTCTCTATGCCTTTCTTGATGAAAACTTCAAGAGGTGTTTCAGGGACTTTTGCTTTCCAATTAAGATGAGGATGGAGCGACAGAGCACTACTAGAGTCAGAAATACGGTTCAGGATACTGCTTACATGAGGGATGTTGATGGCATAAATAAACCAGTATGACTAGTCGTGGAGATGTCGTCTTATAGTTCTCCAGGAAGAGAAGAGTTCAATGATCTAGGTTTAACTCAGATTACTACTGCAGTCTGAGATGGAAAAGTAGAATGTCTAACAAACTTAGAAATCTCCTGGTCCAAAGTCATAAGGCTCAGGCTGCATTAGCAACCCAGGTCAGTGGAAATATCAAGGCTTTAGGATTGAGTACAAAAGATCTGAGTTAGCAAACACAATCCTTCTCTATGGCAGTGAAGCAAGGCTGACTCTCAGTTCCTTTGACGAACAAGAAACGCCTTTTTTTTTCTGGTTACATAGATTTACTTAGGGATTCAGCTGCTGTGACCTTCTTATGCAATGTGGTTTCAAAATTTGTGCTTAAAAAAAAGAAAAAAGAACACTTGTTTCAGATCTTAGTGGGCATTCAAACCAGATGCCTAACATTGACAGTCACAACCTCAGTAAGAATGACAACCATTTCCAGGGCCCGTGCCCAGCTCACTTCATGCGACACAGACACATATTTCATGTTACTGTGTTAATAAGGATTCCAGCTTAAGTTTGACTTGGACCCATACCTGAATTGTCTGATATTTGCATATAATAGAAAATTATCTTGATCTTTAAATATGCAAAAAGTAGTTTCCAACATAGTTTAATCTCTTGAACACTATATTTTTTACCATGGTATTCAGATAAATTATCTCATGATAAGGCATGTCCTGATGTTAAGAAACAAAATGGTTTAAATACCACCAAAAATATATATAGTTCCATTTGTAAATAATAGTATATGTGTAAACAGGGAATGGGTTTGCCTTCCATCCAGGCAATTTCTTGAGGCCATGCTAATGATATCTCCCAAGTAATTTAGAGTAGATATTGAGACATTTTGCTGCCACATAAGCTTCTCTTTGTGAATCAGTCAATAGTGCCATCTCTTTCAGACATCCGGAGCACCAATTAGTCCTTCAACAGTGCTCATAACTCCCGTGTTAATGAATCACAAAATATTTAACTCATTCCCAGGTTGTAGCTTTTGTAGAATCTAGTTTATATGCAACATCTCATTATGAATATATACCTATTACCATAGTATTCATGGAGGAAGGGCATTTTTTTCATGTAAATCTTGAGAGATTATTCTTGACTTTCAGAAGAAAGACTAGCTCCTAATTGTGGGCTGAATGAGGACATTATGTCATTTGTGGGGTATGGACATACCTTGCACTGTGTTATGTGAAGTGCATACCTGCTGAAGATAATGGTTTGAACAACACATTTAAGGTAATTTTGCTAAAACTTGCAGGTGATGTATAAATTCCCCCTTCTTTTCCCTGAAAGTATGGTTTCAGAGGTAATGACATTTTCTGTAATTTGCCTGGGCAAAGGAAATGGATAATTTAGAAATAACACCCATCTTTTCCTTAGCCTATGTGTTATTAGGACAGCATCCTCTTGAATTTAATAAGAAAATCAAGTGTACAGATCTATATAACTATAGACATCACTACTTTTATAACTTCTGTTCACTGTGCATTTTCTGTCTTGTGTATATACTCTCTCCTTCTGGACTGAAAGTTTTATATGTGGCTTCAGAATTTTAGTATGATGATGTTTGTCAATTCCAGATTTTCATAGTACATACAGATGCCTTACTGCAGCAAGCAAGATTTTTCCTGATGAAAACAAAGTGCTTTTTGATCATTTATTAAATTTTATTGATTTTTTTCTTAGGTGTCCTTGTAGTCTTATAATAAATGTAGATAGGAATGGCTTACATATTGGTTGTCATTCACCCCATGGTTAAAAATCTTGGCTATCATTCAGAAGAGATGTCCATTTAGTGAGTAGTTCCAGAAATAAACCCTACTGGAGTAGAAAATACAGAAGCCTCTTTACAACAGAAAAACACAGGAGATTTTCTTGAAGGATTCTTACACAGTGCAAAACTATAACAGAGACAAAATCATAGAACAAACTTATAATAATGTGTTCTCTCTAAATTGGTACCCATACATGCCTTCATAATATCAGTTGCTATTATTGGAGCCTGACTGAGTTTTAGTCTAATCATCCTGCATCTCTTCATATCTAAGTTTGCAGCCCAAGGAGAGAGACAAGTGGCTTTAAGTGTCCATGAGGAGTGCTTTAAACCTCCATTATTACTAACACCAATTTTCCAAAACTAAAAAAGGAGGGAGAATAGCTATGTAATTTTAAGGCACTACAATAAAGAATGATAAAGTGCATCATGTGCATAAGGAAAAATAACACAAAAATGTTATTTCTTCATTAAAAGTGAGCATGTGCATAAGTGTGTGTGTGTGTGTGTGCATGCATGTGTGTGAGAGTGAGTGTGTGCATATGTGTCTGTGTCATAGTGTGCATGCATGCATGTGCAAATGTGTGTGTATGTCTGTGTTTGTGTATGTGCTGTCACGAAGCAGTGGTCATAATGTGATTTCTTCATCATTCTAGACAATGCATTTGTCCAAACCCCATTCCTTCTCAAATATGTCCCATCTCTTGCTTTTCTTATTCTCCCATCATAGCAAAGATGTTCATTGTGTCTCCTTGAGACAAGAACTGCATATCTCTCACCTTGAGATCAACTCTTTACATGGACTCCATCTTCCAACCTGAGTAACAACTTCTGGAAGATAGGAACTAGTGAAGAGTCAATAAAAAAATGCAAAGAAATGAAACAGACATACATAAGGCATGTGGGTATAAAACCATAATTCTAACTAGGGGGAGAGTGGAACCACTGTTAGTGTCTCAGGCTAGTCTTATGAATCTAGAGGCATCCCCTATTGAAAGAATTTAAGTCAAACTCCAGGCTTTATGCCAGAAAAGGAAGCATAGTTTGGAAAGTTTTTTGTTTTTGTTTTTTAAGATTTTATTGGGGAATTGGGGGAAGGGAACAGCATTGGGGAATTGGGGAAGAGGAACAGACAAGTTGTTGTCCTTTCGTTCTTCAGTCTAGTTGCGGAGGACGTCATTTCACTGGCCCATGTTGGTATTGTGATCATTGCGCTCTTCCCAGCTAAGGCAGATCGGTTGCCAGCTATTGGATAGCCGATCACAGTGGCTCACTACAGCTAACTGCAGCTCATACCAGCTCCCAGTCACTCATGTTGGCTGCCGGCCACTCACGGTAACTTACAGCAGCCCACTGCAGCCCCACTGCAGCCTACACTGTTGCCAGCAACTCATGGCAGCCCAGCTCCAGGTCGAGCTGTTGTTCACCATCTCAGCTGTAGAGGGCCCAGCATCACTGGCCTATGTGGGATTGGAACCAGTGGCCCTGCTGCTCAGAGCTCATGCTCCCAAGCCAACTCTTAACCAACAAGCCACTCAGCCAGCCCTGGAAAGATAGTTTTGAAAACAGCAAGGAATACTCACATAAATCTTAAGAAAATGGCTCCATTCTATGATGTATTACTGAGAAATAAAAGTTCTTAAATTTTTACAACCATTATTAGACAATTTATAGATGTTTCATCCAATGTCAAGACATAATATGATGAATTACTGAAAAAAAATACATTGGTTGGCTATAAGTTAGAGCTTTTTAAAGGAGAAATCTATTACAAGTTGTATGTCCATTCAATGAAATTTATTTTCTAAGCAAAAAATGTTCAGAAGATTCAGCATACACTTGAAAATCCCATCCCAAAAAGGCATAAATATGCTTGCCCTAGGCAATTTTCTTCTCTGAAACAAAAGTATATTCATATATCTTTTACTGTAATATATATTATTTATATACTGTTCTCTTAAAAGATGATATTTATGCATTGTATATATAATCATGTGCCTTGCAATAAAATAAAAATTGTACCTCCTAAAAATCATAGCAGAAGATTACTGTGACAAATCATTTACTCTTTAATAGTTTGGATGATGCTGTACATCAGGATAATGTTAAAGGTTTCTTAAACTGTAAATAATTGCTTTAACTTTACATCCATGACAATGCTATGGATGATTAATGCAAAGGGCCATAACATGTAGGAATCTAAACTATGATCTTAAATTCCTAAATCTATCAATTGCTTAGGAAAATTCACCTGTATTCACAGTAATGCTGAAAAGATCCCAGAATAAATGTTATATACTGCCCTTCCTAGGAAAAACCATGTTTCCACTATGAAAATATGTAAAATTCAAAATCATACTGTTCCACCAATAGAAACATAAATTAGACTCAACCTTCTGCAGCCTTCTGCCCTTCTGCCCTTCTCCCAAGACTGTATAATCACATCACTGCCATGAATCATGTGTTTCTAAACCTCATGGTATTTATACACACAAACAAAGAATAATTTGAAAACCATTACCCCCAGCTTTATGGTGGAGTGATGATGATGTGGGCCAGGCAAGTAGCCCCCTCACTGGACAACTTTTAGGTTTTCTATAGAAATTTTAAGTCTCCTCTTCACTAGTTTCTTAGTCCCTGGCTTTGATTACTCATTCTTCTAATGAGTTTCTGAATCCTAGACTAAAGATTGCCCCTAGACTGAATCATAGAATATCTCTCACCCACCCCTGCTTTAGATAACCATTTAAATGCCTGTGACTTCTCAACATTCCCCAAGCCATTCCAGACCTAACTCTTGCATAATCCCATCCCAGAGACTAGATTTTAACATTTCCCCAGGCCAGTATATTTGTTGATTGAAAATATTAAAGTCTAATGTTCTTTCCAAACTGGTAGCCACCCTACATCAATAGATTTGAGCTCTGCTCTTTAAGAAATTTATTAATTAAAATCTATTTTTCCTCATTTAGGGACCTTGGGGATTCAGAGGGTACTCCAGCAAGATTACCAGTCACAACCAAAGAAGCCAACAATGTCTTCCAGGTGGATCTTGAGACCCCTTCCTCTCATGTGAGATCAAATAAGTTGAGAGTTCCATGAATCCCCCAAATAGGCAGGGACAGCTCTACACCCCTGCCCAGCAGGAAGTAGACACAGAAGAAAAGACCTCCTGTCCCTCAACTTCCCATAGAGATTTTATGGGGATCATGTCTCTCAAGGGAAAAACAAGGGAGGCAGTTAGAAGCAGGCATTGGGTCTCTGCATTCCTGCCCATCCCACAGAGTATGATCGCCCAAAAGACCTCCGCTCTCCACCCAAACCTTCTCCTTTTCATTGTAATTATCTACGCTTATGGGGAAACAAATGGGTACAAAATACCTGACTGGATTTGACCAGTCACCCACACCTGTGCAATAAAGGCCTAACGACCTTCATTTCACCTGGGCTTCATTATACCATCATTATAATATCATACAAATGCCTGGAAATTTATTAATAGCATTATAATAGACTTAATTCTGGGAAGGAACATGCACAGCCTAAAGAGATAAGATAATAGCCTGTTGTCAATCACAGGTGTCAATCCTCATGTCTAGTTAGGGAGACCACTTCATAGTCAGTATAGAGACCTGACCACCGCACTGTATTTCTGAAGCTGATGTAGAATAACATTGTATGTCAACTATAATTGTATATACATATAGTCATGGGACATGGAGTAGAGTGTGGGAATGGAGTCAATGGAATTGTAATAGATAAGTATGATATCGGGGGTGGGAGGGCAGTGGATGGGGGAGGGGGGTTGTTACTTTGTGAGGGTGAAAAGGGTAACTATTGTATTGTTCTGTACACCTGAAACTAACAATAAAAAAAATTAAATGTGAGAAAGTGAATTACAATAACAAGATGTATAAAGAAAATTGTAAGCAGGTAGAAAGTATGAAACTTGGTGACTGGATGTGTTGATTCCAGGGAGAGTTGGGGTCCAGGAGTTTTTATGCTTCAGTATTTCAGTGGTACTATTTGCTAGGATGGGTAAAACAGGATAGATTAGAGACAGTCAGGAAAACAAAAGGGTGGGGAGGGGTCAATGTCTTTCTTCACTTTGGGACATATCAAATTTGAGTCACCCAGGGGACTTAGAGGGAAACCCTGGATAAATACATTTGGAGTAGAAATAGATGACTTTACTCAGGAAAAGCGTATGATGTTTAGAAGACAGAAATTTGTAAAACATGCTAAACTGCTATCATTCAATAATGCAAAACCTACACAGAACTTGTGCAACTTTAAAAATAAAACAAGAGCTGAGGTATGAACACATGAATTCAATGTTTCAATTACATATTTCAAAATCTGTTTGAACAATATAAAGCACCCTTTAGATATATGCAAATATTTGTTTCTGGGATATTATCATAAATAGCATTTTAAGTTTAATGAGACCATTTAATTGTCAAGCACCAATTCACAATGTTACAATAAGAAAACTATTTAAAAATTAATTTTAAAAGACAAGTTTTAAATTTTAAAAAGGAAATGCTTATGTGATTATAGAACCTTGAGGCATTTTGAAGTACTGTTGTATGTATGAAAGAGATATAAAACCCTATTTTAAATTTTTTAAAAAAAAATCACAGGTGTCAACCAAGTGGTCCCATGCCAAGATAGGAATGGCCCATTCTAGAGAAAGAAGGGATAAAAACTCCAAGTCCTGAACAGTCAGCACCTTTTGAGCTTCCTTTGCTTGACCCACGCCAAACTCTTTGGAGTGTACTTTCTCTTCTAATAATAACCCTTGAGCCATACTCTACTGCCCGGGCCCACTTCTGTTTCTTTGAAATGTATTTTCTCTTCTAATACACTGTCCTTTTCTGCAACTTTACCTCTCTGGTTCGTGTCTCCATTCTTCATCTCCATGAGACCATAATCCTGGACACACACAAAAACACACATCAAAAAATTCTGCTTCAATAAGTCTCCATTGTTTCTTCCCTTAAATTTACAACACTTTGGAGAACTATAACTCAGCAAAGGATCCCCTGCTCAACACACAAACACGCCTGAAAGATCCACTCCTTGGGGAATCTGAGGGTGGTCATATTGGACTGAGTAGGGTGGCAGGACAGGGGAAAGACAAGGACAATAACCGCAGATGCAGTTCAGCACTAACCATGGCTCACCATGGTTCCAGTGATTGCAGCAGTGGAGTAGGAGTCAAGCTGCAGACCTCACATAACGGTCTGGTGTGTAAGAGGGGCAGAAGCAGTTTCCTTCTTGGAGAAAGCATCTTCCTTTTCTCTCCCCATCACAATAGAGCCTGGTAGAAGTGGCTAGAAAATTAAAACACACACACACACACACACACACACACACACACACACACATAGTGGAACCAACTGTCATATCTGGCAGGCGACAGAGCCATGAGATCACAAACTTGTCTTCTCTCCTCCACATACCCCTGCAGAGCCAGGTAAAACTAAAAACAGTGGGAAA